CAGAGTAAATTTTCAGGTTTTTGATAAGAGCTTTTGAAGTCACAGGCATTACAGCACCACATGCTTGAGACAGACTGCTTTTTACTTCAGGACACCCAAGTATTGGCCTAAATTTGCTGCCATTTCCTAAAAATGAAAATTTTCTTGAGTAGTGATTATAATTCCTTCAGACAGTTTGGAAAACAGTTTTTCCAGGGTTGAGCAGCAGCTGTGGGCACTGAAAGTCTATCATGGCCCTGACCAGCCTCACCTGGGCCCTCAGCACCCTCCTCCCATGGCCCAGGAGCTCCATATAAAGCTGAGGCTTGGGCCAGGCTCTGGTCTTTGATGAGTCTGACTTGCTGAGGTGGTTTCCTGGATTGATTTTGGACCTGCCTCTTTGCTTCAGAGCTGCTGGATGGTTGATCACTGGAGTGCTGGCTGAAGCTGTTGTTTCCACAGGACCTGCTCAGCTTTCCTTGCTCAGGTATGATGGAGCTGTGCTCCTCACTGGTGTAGGGTGCTGCCCTGACTGGCATTGCTGTTGCTTTCAGCTCTGTCTGCTTTTCTGGAGAAGCTGCTCCTGTTGTGCCCTGCCAGTCAGTACCACTGTGTTTGCTCTTTGAGAATACAGGATTGTGCTGGGCAATACAATGCCATTTGCTGTCTCTAAACGTGGCAACAAGTATACTTTCTGCTCTGTGGTTTAGTTGGAAGCACTTAGTTCTTAAAGACTCTGCTCATGGATTTTGCTTCTAGAATGTAGGAATTTCTGAATTGCTGTACTCTTAAGAGGCATATTTCTATTGAGGTTTTTGCAGTTCCAGCTCTTCCTTGAACTAGATGTTTGGTTTCTCTGTGCTGTTAAGTTTCAATGAGTTAATTTTGAAGACTGGTCTCTAGTTTCAAAACCACTTTTTAAATTGCACACATTGCACTGTAAGTACTGTCAGCTCTGGGAGCTGCCTACTTTTGTACATTGAAACACTTCCAAGTTATAATGAGTTAAAGAGTTCACCTAAGAAAGCATTGCTTACTTCCACGTCTACGCAGTTCTAGTCTCAGACTCCCACTTTCTCCTGTGTTATTTTGTATATATATTGGGAAAAGCCCTCTCACGCTGAAGTCACCAGCTAGGCAAGATGGTGACTGGCAGATAGGAGGCAAGGAGCTGTGATGTGTCTGACCACTGATGGGCACAGCATTGTCATTTGCATTTTTAACAGGAAATCTGCTGCTGGGTGGGGAATTGCTGTCTCTAAGAGAACTGGCAACAGAGGATGCATTTATCTGTGCTAACTTCTCTCATTGCCACATCTGACATACGCATTGGTTGCTCATCCACTGTGTTTTGTAGAGAAGTACTTTCCATTCCTTTTGGTTGTGCAGAAGGGAAATGAGCACTTGTACTAGGAAACTCCAGGAATAACGCAGCTCTGGGATCCTATATGGGCTTATGAAGACGCAGACTTTGCCATCAGCTTTTAAATAATCCCTTGGAGCAAAAATAAGAGGGTGTGGGGTTTTTTCTCCTTCCTCCTCAGAGAACTACAGAGCATA